CCTAACTCGAGTCCTCTTTCTTTTAGGGCGCCTTCTCCACAACTTTGTCTTCCGGCTGTCTCTGTTCGTCCACATTGACATTTACTTCGCTAGTGCTTGTCCAACCTTCCTTATTACAAAAGTAATAAAGATAAAAATAATTTTCTCCACCACTCCATTAGAATTCTTCCTTTCTTTTAGGTGTTCTCCATCTATCCGAACACCAAACCCTTTTTTTTTAGCATAGCGTTTATAGAAATCCAAGCACTCATCCTTAGTGCGATACAAGATGTTCTTCCTCGCTTCCTCATCTTCTAGGTCCAACGTGTTATGAGCTGCGAGTTAATGGTATGAGACATGTTATTATCCATATTGTCCAATAAACAAATGAAATATTACCCACAAACTGTTAGAGTGCATAATGTTCAATAAATATCCAGTCTTTAAAAAATAATATCCATAAGTACCAGACTAGTATCAAACAGGGGTATTAAACATTAGGTTACACACCACGTCCAACATGTCAAGACGAATATCAAACATCTAAGTCAGTCGTATCCATGAACCCCGTATCAATATCAGTACCCCATAACAACATCAATATCATTGAATAGCATTCAATGCAACCAACCAATCTCACAACAACAAAAACATATGTATAAATTACTCAATCAACATTTATTTTCTTCTTCTTCTTCTTCATCGACGGTAGGAGCACCACCTTCTTCTTCTTCTTTATTGTCTTCTTCTTCTTCTGTATTTTCTTCTTCTTCTTCTTCACTATTTTGGATGATCGGTTTATCCTTCTTCATTGGACAAGCTCGTTGATCATCCAACTCACCATTCTCGTCGATCAGCATCTGCCGATCGTGGACAAGGCTCGTCGGAGAAAGGAAACGACGGTGGCCGGACTTACTGTTGGGACGGTGGCGGCCGCAATTGGGTGGCGGGCGGCAGAGGGAGATTTACAAAGAGAGAGAGAGTTTGGTGGTTGGGCAATAAATGGTTTCTTTCCTCCCATTTTTTATTTTTCTTTGCCCCAATTTATTCCCAAACCCCTGGCCCCACTTTTTTTATTTTTACCTTCTCCCGCCCAAAGAAAAATGGGCCCACTTTTCCCATTTGCCTGCTCCAGCCCAAAACCCCCCCTTCCTTCTCAGCCCATCAACCCCCAATTAATAGGCCCGCGATCCTCGGCCCTTGGATTGCAGCAGTTGGGACGTGGCTCAAATCCGGCCCGTGTTAGTATCTGCTAACCAAAACACCTGTTAGCAGTTTAACTTCCGCGCTTCTGCTGCCCCACCCAGGATTGGGGATTTCCGAAAGCCCCCACAATTTCTCCTTTCACCCGAACGTTAGAACCGCCCCCGATCTCACTGCTCTTTGCCCTTTTGTGTATATATGTTAAAATTCCATCTTCCAACCTCTTCTCGGCGCTTTCCAAACCTCTACGCATAAACAAAAATCGAAATAGAGAGAGAAAACAACAACTCTTGACCGCCGGCGGTGGGTTCCGAAGAGAGAGAGGGGAAGGTGGGGGAGCTCGTGAGCTAAGCTCTGGTTCTGGCCGTTCAATGGTGTATATTGGTGGGAGGGGAGAAGAGTCAGTGAGACGACGAGCAGACAACGGTGACGGTAATGGTGGTGGTGTGGCGATGGCGATGGGGACGGAGAGATCAAAACTGCCGCTCCACAATTTCAATCTCCCGAGCTTGAAGTGGGGGAATCAGAGACAACTCCGATACATGAATCCTTCCGATTCGAGTAATAGCGGCAGTACCAACCCCAGGAACGACGGGCGAGAGAGGATTCTCGTTCTCTTTTTTTAACCATCATCCACTCCCAATAAATGTGCACATTTGTTTTATTAAAAATAGTAAAATACTTCTTAGATTTATTTGAAAATTCTATTTCAATTCCTTGGAATGGCTCTCGAACTAACTTCTTTTTTTTGGTGCGAAGTGGGGCGCTTAAAGGGCACCCTAACCTTTATTCAATAATAAAGCGGGTCGTTCCGACCCCGATAATGTCATGGTACAACCAATAAGAAAGAGCAGCATCAGGTGCTGCAATAACATGGGAACCTACTGAACACAAATGCCCTAAATTAGCGAGATAATCTGCAACAACATTTGCCTCTCTGTAAACATGGACAATGTGGACTTGCCAGTCCCTCGCGAGCCAACGTCGTATTTCGGCGACGCTTGTGTAGTGTCGATGGTGTGGTGTGGCGACTTCAATAAGATGCTTCGCTGTGGTGGAATCTGTCTGCAGAATCACCTTCCGAACTCCTGCCTCCCAAGTGAGTTTCAATCCTTGCACAATTCCGGCTAACTCTGCACTCGTTACTGAACCTCCCCCAAGGTTCATAGTGAAAGCTGTAATGAAGCGGCCGTCGTCTCCCTGCACGACTCCGCCAGCCGCCGAGCTAAGAGGAGAGTTGGTCACTGATCCGTCTGTGTTGAGGCACACCCACTCATGTTGTGGTGGCTGCCACTTGATATCTCTCGGTGTTCGGAGTCCCCCGGCTCCGATTATCGTACTCTCCTTTTCTGAAGCTTGAATGATTTGTTGCTTCAACTGTACAGATTTAGCCTGAATTTGTGCAAATGACTGTAGCTCACCCTGGAAGCAGAAGTTGTTCCGGTTCTTCCATAGAAGCCAACAAGTACCTGCAAAGAGGGTACTATCGATCACTCGCCCATGCCCCGCTGTGTAATGGAACATCCAATCAGCTTGAGCTCGTCCAAAGAAGTCTTGGTCCGGCTCATTTTGTAGCAATCCCGCCCACGTAGCTCGCGCAAAAGGACAATCCCTGAGTACATGCATGGTGGTTTCAGGTCCTGCTCCACAAATTTTGCAGCTATCATCCCCTGTAAGGTGGCGTCTCTTTCGTTCCGCATTGGTGAGAAGGCGTTGGTGCGCTGCTAGCCAAAGAAATGTTCTCGTTCTCTGATTCGTCGGGGTTCGCCAAATGGCTCTCCATCTTGGGTGGCGGTGAAGATTTGCTGGCTCGTCCCCGCCGGTGATCTCGTACGCCGAACTGAATGTGAAGTTTCCATCCGCCGATAATCGCCAGCATCTAACGTCATCGGTTTGCACCGTAGGCACCGGATGGAGCAGTACCTGCGAAGCCAACTCAGGCGGTAAGTAATATGATATATATTCAATGTTCCACTTACCATTCAGCACAAACTCAGCCACCGGAATGTTAAGGGCTTCCACAGGAACATTTGGAGCAAAAGTCATCAGAGGTTCGCCGTTAGTCAACCATCTGTCTCTCCAAAATCGCGCCCGTCTTCCATTTTGTATGTTCCAAACTGTGGCTTCCTCTAACATGTGCCAGATACGGAGGACCCCACGCCACAGATTAGAGAGACGTCCGCTTCTGCGAGGTAGAAAACCCTCGTCCGAAACTTTCATGTATTTGTGCAGAATCACTCGTGCCCACAGCTCATCTGGATTTTTTATCAATCGCCATGCAATTTTCAGCATGTATGCCTCATTGGATCGAGTAGCTGTCCTCAACCCAAGTCCTCCTTCTTCTTTTGGTCGGCAAACTTTTTCCCAATCGATCAAATGAACCTTCCGTCCGCCTTCCGTGCTCCCCCAAATAAATGCCCGGATCTTTTTGTCTATGTAATCCCGAACACTTGCGGGGAGGAAAGAAGTTTGCATCGTGTAGGACGGGAGAGACGATAGTACTGACTGCGCCAGAGTGACTCTTGCAGCCATGCTCATCTTCTCTACCTTCCACCCAGCTAGACGGGAGTCCACTTTGTCTATCAGCTCAGTATATGTGGCCTTGGACACCCTGTCATGGATAACAGGAACTCCTAGGTAACGTCCGAGGTTGTCTGTCTGTGGAATCTGTAGTTCTGCGCTTAGCTCCAGTCTGCATGCGGTGCTGACGTTTGGTGAGAAAAAAATCCTCGACTTTGGCTTGCTAACTCTCTGGCCCGAGGCAGCTCCAAACAATTCGAAGCATTGAGTGATGGCCTGTGCTTGCTGCATAGAAGCTTCCCCGAACAGAATTAGGTCATCTGCAAAAAACAAATGAGAAAGAGCTGGTCCAGAGTTGGTCAGTTTGATAGGCTGCCACTTTCCAGCCCCTACAGAATCGTTAATCAAATGCCCAAGGCGTTCCATACACAAGGTAAAGATATAAGAAGATAGAGGACATCCCTGTCTCAGGCCGCGGGAAGGAAGGAAAGGGCTGGTCAATCCGCCATTCCACTGGATCTGCATGCTTGCAGAAGTTATGCAAGCCATGGTAACTTCGAAAAAAGGTGATGGTGCTCCCACGGCTTCAAGCGTGTCCCGGACAAAATTCCAACGAATACGGTCATAAGCCTTGGCCAAATTGACCTTGAGAACCATCCACCCACGTCTTCCTTTCTTCTCCCTCATGGAGTGCACCACCTCTTGCGGAATGCAGATATTATCTGTTATATGTCGTCCCGGCACAAAGCTTGTTTGAGTTTCATGTATAAGTAGTGGCATCAGAGGCCTTAATCGATCTGCCAGGCATTTTGTGAGAGCTTTATATGCCACATTGCATAGGCTTATAGGCCGAAACTGCTCAATCAAAGTTGGTGTAGCAATTTTCGGAATCAAAACCAAAATCGTGGCGTTGATGCTCTTTATTCTGCTTGGATCCTCCCAACACTTTGTTGCTAGCTGAGCCAGCGATTCACCAACTGTCATCCAACACCTCTGGAAAAAAAGTGGGTTTAGTCCGTCGATTCCTGGAGCTTTCAGAGCTCCCATGGACTGAATTGCCTTCTGGATTTCACTCAGCGCCGGTGGGCTAGTGAATCCTTGCCATAGTGATTCGGCGATTACAGGGAAAGACCGCGCTTGAGCTTGAGCAATCTCATTTTCATCTGTATATAGGTGCTGAAAGAACTGCGTGACCAATTGCTTCAATTCCTCTTCCTCCTCTACCCAATCCCCCTGCTGATTTTTGAGTGCAGCAATCCTATTTCTCTTGCGTCTTTGCAAGGTCCTCGAGTGGAAGTACGCAGTGTTCCTGTCCCCTAAGGCAATCCATTCTTGCCTTGATTTTTGACACCAGAGAAGCTCCTCCTGGAACAGTGTCATTTCCAATTCCTCTCTAGTACTTTCAAGTTGTGGTGATGTCGTCAGATGACCATCTCTCTGTTCCAGTGTCTCCAACCTCTTCATAAGTGCATCTTTCTTTCTCTGAATATGACCAAACACATGGCGATTCCAATGGTTAGCATCCCGCGCAAAAGCCTCTGCCGAAGGGATGAAAGATGACCCTTTGGCCCAGGCTGTCTGCAACATAGGTTGGAACTCATCATGTGTTAACCAGGCTGCAAGGAAGCGGAACGGCTTTGTCCCTGCAAAAGTGTGCGATGGTTCAGTGGAGACCAGGAGCGGCCTGTGGTCTGACTTGATCCGGGGCAGATGGCGTACAGCGGCATCGGGATAATGCATGAGCCAGTGGTTGTTGGCTAAGGCACGATCCAGTCTTTCTCGAACTCCATTTCGAAACCAAGTGAAGGGTGGCCCATTGTATCCCAAATCGATCAGCCGGGAGTCATGCACACAGTCTTGGAAGTCCCGAATGCGGCTTGCATCAAAAGCAGCACCACCCAACTTTTCAGACGAATGTAGTATAGAATTGAAATCTCCTACAAGCATCCACGAGTGATCCTGGTTGACCGACATCGTCCTGAGATCCTCCCATAGCTCTCGGCGTTGCATAGGTGCTGGATTAGCATACACCGCAGTTAGGAGCCACTTGTTTTCTCGGATACCTGGAGTTTCAACCTGCACATGAAGGAATTGAGGACGAGCATCAAGCTGTGTAATGGTCATATCAGTGGAGTTCCATAGAATCCAAATCCCTCCCGAAAATCGAATAGCATCAACAGCCAATTCCTTATCAAAAACCCATTTTATGAATCACATCTCTCGCTATATCTCCACTAATACGTGGTTCAACTATAATCACTATCTGAGGTTTATGCTTTCTCCTATATTCACCGAACACACGAAGGAATTTTCTACTACCCGCCCCCTGCAGTTCCATACAAAAATTTTGTAATTCATCATAAACAAATTGGGTAAGAGAAGGGGGAAAAAAACTCCCTGAATTCAAATTTGGGATGGGGGGCTGCATCCCGCACTCCCAAGGTCCATTTTTGTCTCTTTCATCTGCTCATCGACTGTCTGTAATTGCTCTGGTATCTCACCCATATTAGTAGGTCTCCCTTGAGGAGTGACAGGTTGTGGTGAGTCGGATTGCTCTTCGCCGGCTGGAGTCTGTGGAATAGATTGGACCGTCATAACCTCCTCCTGGGATTTCAGTGGAGGGTGAGTTTTTGACGAGCTTTTGGCAGAAGCCAGTGCAGTCCAGGCAGCGATCTCCTGGAGGGATAGTGAGCTTGATTTTTCTCGGTCTTTGATTCTCTTGTCTAGTGTCGGAGTCCAAGCCTGTATCATTTTAGATGGCGAGGCAATATGGATTCCGACTTTGCTTTTGTTATTGGTAGCTTTGAATTTCTTTGTTCTGGTTGCTGCCGAGGGAGAAGATGAGATTTGACCGGTTCGGCCTGAATGTTCAAACGGCTGGACTTGGACTAGCTGTGCTGACGTGTTGGAGCCCGTGATTTTGACAATAGGCGGTAGTGATAGATCATGCACCCCTGAAGGTGTAGGGGAGTGGAGGCACCAACCTTGTCGTATAGTGAAGAAGATGTATGGATGGTCGATGATGCATGTGATCGTAGATGGCTTTTCCCTATAGTAGTAGTTGGAGGCAGGGGGCTTAAAAGAGTGGGGAGTTTGACAGATGGTGGGTTATGGTGGGATTAAAGTAGATGTTGGGTGGAAAGTAGAAGTGTCGTGGGTGTTATAGGAATGGGTGGGAAAGGGATTAAATGGAATTTTGGATTGTTCTGGGTTTGACAAATCATATGGATTTTTGTTGTTTTGATCAACTTGAGCTGGGGGAATTGATGGGTAAATTGGGCTTTGATTTGTGGCATGTAGAGGTGAAGGGCTTGGGTAGAAGAGGCGAAGGATGGCCCAGTATTGGTTGTCTTCTTGTTGTTACCGAGAGATGAAATAGGGATTTCGGCCATCTTCCTTTACTGCGCCGCATTTAGTGTTTTACTCCTGTTTTTATCTTCTACTGCGGCAAGCGAAGAGGCTGAAAGCTTAGCTATCTTCAACTTTTCTTTTGCTGCGATTTCTTCCTTAGTCAGATCACCCATTCCTTTATTAATGCTCTGCTCTTCCTCCATGTTGATACCGTTGTCGTGGCCAGAGGCAAAGCTTTGTTTATTGTTGTTATCATGGGTATTGGAGCCTCTTCTGACAATATTGATGTTACCTTGTCGGTTCAGATTTGGAGTCGTCGTATTGCCGCCGTTTGCCTGAGTTCTCACCCGATGAGTGTTGTCGGCGGCGGGGGACTGTTTACCTGGTTTGGTATTCCTCCAATTGCGTCTCTGGACTTGCATCCAAGGGCCGTAGTTAGCTTTTGGTTCATGGTGATGTTGGGTAATGTTCTGGGTCGACGGTGGGGAGGATGCGGCGGCGGTTATTTCTAGAAGTTGCTTGGTGGGGCAAGCCTCTTCTAGATGTCCGATTCTGCCGCAGGTGAAGCACAACTGAGGTAGATTTTCATATTCCACAGCTTGCCAGTGCCCATCTAGCCAAAATCTTGTGCGTAGTGGTTTTGAGACGTCGATTTCGATAGCCATTCTAGCAAACTTTCCTCTTTGAACGGTGAGAGTGTTTGGGTCAATTCGGATGGTTTTACCGAAAAGATTGCCTATCACCGTCAAAATCTGATTGTGGTAGTATTGAATAGGTAGAGCAGGAAAGCTTACCCATGGTGTGATGCTTGGTGGGAGCTTCTCTGTGAGGCGGAAATCCTTGGACCATGGCTGAACCACCAGGTAATGTTCGAGGATCATCCAGGGGCCATCTGAAAGGGAGGTGAGGTAATCAGCCCTGTTGGTGAATTTGACCATGAAGCAATCTTGGTCTAGGTCTAGCACATCCATGTGGCCAGAAGGTCTCCACATTTTGTATAAGCGTGCGACAAGGTAAGGATACCGAACTTTCCTTCCAATCAAACGCTCTACAACAGTTTGCTTCAGTGGTGTACAAACTTGGTTGAGTAGTTGAGGGGACCATAGAAGGGACGGTTCTCCATCCCGGGAGCCTATTATGTAGTCCTCCTGCGAAACCTTGAGTTCTGAATTCGTCACAATGTTAGTAGGCAAACTGCCAGATTCCAAAGCTGCCTTGTAGGAAGGTTGGGGGTTGACAGTAATAGGTGAAGGAGAAGTAGTTGGCAAACTAGATGGTAGAGGAAGAGATGATGTCGACCATATAATGGACGGGTCTCCCTCCCGGGAGCTTACAATGTAGTCCCCGGCGAAAAAACGGTTTCTGAAGCCATCACCATATTTGGGGGCGAAACTCCATTCTCCAAAGCTAGTTTGCTAGACAGCTGGTGTGGATTGGGTTGAGATAAATGAGGGTTAGTTAACATCATAGATGCTGGATGAAGAGAAGATGGTGGCTGGTCGGATATGCTGATTTGTGGGATGGATGGAGGATCCGCATCCATCATTGATTGGTGAGCTTTAGGTGATTGCAGAAGTGGTGGAAATTGAAAGGATGGATCTGGTGGCCGGTCGGGTGGAACAAAAGGTGGAGGTGATTGGATTACCGGCGGTGCCGGAGGATGGTTTGCTGGGAGCATCTTGCTCCAATCCGCTCTCGAACTAACTTCAATTATGTTTAAAATGAATTCTATTAATACCTAATTTCATTTCACAATGAATTAAAAAATGCATGCAAGTAAAAATGTATTCATAGAAAGTGATTTCTCGGATGGTTGCTTCCATTCCATGTATAGAAAGTCAATTCTAATCAAAGCTTCCAGTAGTTCGTCTTTAACAGCTACAAATTCCATCGTACTCTGAAGCTCTTGTTGGGATCTCAGAAGCAGACGAATCTGCCGTTTTCACTAACAACTACAAATGCAGGCCACATATAGCAAGCAAGATACAAGTTAAGCAAGACAATGATCCATTCATTCATTCATTCATTCTGCAAAAACTGTGAACAAGATCAAAATGACAGACAGTAAAACACGACAAGGCTACCATGGCCTTTCTTGCAGGGCACGGCGAACCTTGTACGCAAAATCCAGATGCCCGCTCGCTTACAGCCAGGGTGCCAATCTATCTTCCTCCTACCTAATGCTTATTTCTGGATCACAGACAGAAGAACACTCGAATCAACTACCTCACTCAATCAAAAAAACACAAGTTAAACCTTCACAATTTGAACAAAGGAATACATTCACCATAACACATTTGAAGAGGTCACTGTAGTCAAGTCAAGTCAAGCCAATCCATCTCGAGGGAAGAAGGAAATACAAAACATTCTACCAATGCACATCAGCCCAATACTCATTCCAATCCCTACATGCTCTACAGAGAAATCAAACTACCGGAGACTGAAATGATAACCACTGCAACCATGCTAACTCACTCAATCTAAGGCCTCAGTCCAAGAGGAAGCTAGACAAAATGGGGAATCAGATTAAGAGTGTAACAGATCAGCAAAACAAACAGAAATTAACATTCATGACAATGGCAGTAAATGTCACAAGTAGGTTCCATCTTTCTATCAGCAGCAGCAGCAACAGAGAGAATGGCTGATCGAAAACATTAGTAACAAGGCATATATAAAAGCTGAAGGGAAACAGAAATACGCTCGAAGATCATTCTAGCAAGACTGCAGATTACTTGAAACATATGGGAAACAGAAACACCCTGTTGTTGTTGTTGTTCCTTCATAATCATACCACAGCTTTAGCAGGGGCAGCCACTTTCTCAGCTTCGGGGATTTTAACATAACCTATCTTCTTAGCATCTTCTTCTTCTTCTTCTTCCTCATCGTCGTACAATTCGTCGTAGTAGGCAGCAGAGCGGACGGCAAAGAGCGACCAGACCAGGTACATGGTGGCGGCAGTGAGAGCTCCACAGCCCACGCCAAAGAGCAGAGCCACAACCACGCTTAGGATATCCTTAGTACGGTCTCGGAGGGAGCTGATTTCGTGGGACGAAAGGCCGAAGGGGAGGAGACGGGCGAAGCCCAGCTGATCCTCTTGCTGCCGCTCCCGCCGGTGGCGAATCGCGAGCCACCACCAGCGACGTGATTCTCGAATTCGAGGCCAGGGAAGACGGCGCGGTCGCTGATCATGTTGGACGAGGACTCCGAGGAGCTCTGGTGGCCGAATTCGGTGACGATTGCCACGAATCCCGCCGAGCGACGACCGAAATTAGGGTTAGGGTAGCGGAAGGAGTGGAGAGGCTTGAGGGAGACGGTGTAGGAGGAGATGAAGAGAGTCTTACAGGGCCTTCCGGCGGAGACGGAGGCGGAGAGGAACCCGATCAGGACGGCGAGAAGGAGGAAGACGACCGAAACATGCCTCGAAGTCGACGCCATTTGACGGGACGGGAGGAATTTGACACAACTCTCTCTCTCTCGCTTTGTTGCTATACTGCTAAGAATGAACGATGTGGAGGAATGAGGATTGGATGATTAGTTCGCTTTTAATCTCCAAGAATTTTCGCTTTGGAATTGGGGGGTGTCGATATGCGCCGTTAGATGGGGTTAATCTGTGATTGTAGCCTTTGATTTACGTTGACATCCGCTTTGATGACGAGTCAATTCAGCAATTGCCCCCACTGCCCCTTTTCGTCTTATTTACGTACGAAACACAGGGTTAAATTCAAAGTAGTACCCAAGGTTGTTGGACTTAGTTTGGCCCGGTTCAGAAAGCGGGTTGAGAATTAATACGACCTCTTTAACCTGGTTTTTTTATGAATATATAAGAAAAGTCTATATGGTTGATATATATACAAATTATATCAAATCAATAACATATAACATTACACCAAAATAATATATCGTACTTGGATCGAACATATAGTAAGAATTCACACACTTATACAACATCAATATTCAGATGTTCAACTTATAATTCCAAAAATAGAGTTATGCGAAAAGGAAAGATAAATGATGTCGTGTAATCTCCAACCTGGTAGCCTTGCAGTGGGTCGACTAGTGGGTTGACAACCTTGGTAGTACGGTTGATAACACACAATATGGTGCTATTAGCCTCTATATTTTAGGTCTTTTCAGGTCATTACATGGTCTCAATGGTTATTATTTCATCAAATAATCTCAAATCCATTTCTCGAAGTAATATATGCAATTTTAGGGTGTATTAGATGATACTTGCATTTTAGGCACAAAAGAGGTCACAAGTGTAGGAAAACAAAAGGAGTAAAACAAGGAGATGACGGCTAAAGGGTGGGGATCACGATTGAGAAGAAGAGGCGCGAAGTCAAGCAAAAGATCGTGACCTCTAGACCAAAGTTCGCGTCTGTGATCTGGGGAGTGTCAGTAGTGAATTTGAGGAAGCAGCCACCAAGGAATGGACATAGAGTTTCGATAGTCCACTCGCAGCCTCAGTTTTCCAAGACCGCGAGAAAGATCATGGCTGTGACTTACGGATCGTGACCGTGAAGTCAAGCCACGAACTCCCAAGCCAGCCAGAGCAAAACTGGTGCATTTCAAGATTGCGACCTCACATTCGAAGTTCATGCCCGCGATCTCCTAGCCCTCAACCACGAACTTGCCTGTCCTCCTGAAGTCTATAAATAGGGTACTCCTTCCCTTTTACAAGAGAGCTGAAAACACTTATAAAATTATTGGTTTTAGAGAGACGTTAGGGTGAGAAGCTGAAGGAAGGAGAAGTAAGGCGAAGGCGAAGAAGAAGAAGGATCCAAGAAGGAAGGGATTTCTCACCAACCATTTGTAGTTTTCTTTTCCATTCTTTCATGAATCTTCTTCCCCCCCTGTATGTAGTAGTTACTCAAGGTTCTAGCGGTTTAATCCCCAAACCCTAGATTTATATTTTATTACGTAGCAATGCAGTCAAAATCGCGTTTTAAAACTTAAAAACTTACGATTTTACGCTTTTAGGTCACCAACACGGTTTCGTTTTCATATAAAAACTTAAGTGTATAAAATCGGACTAAATTGCGCTTTAAAGCTTATGCTTGTACGCTTTTAGTTCACCAAAACGCTTTACGTTTTTACGCTTTTAGTTCACTAAATGAGTATTCTTTTCATAAATTAATTATAAAAAGTATATTTTAAAAGTAAATCACCAACAATATGATGAATTTGAGATTGAAAGATACATACCAGGTACTTGGATGCATTCTTAACTTCAATAGAGTAATCTAATTCACCAGCTAGGCTCTTCCCGAATTCATTAGCATAGAGGAAAAGGTGGCTTATTGTTAAGATTTATGTTTACGAACTTATTATGTAGATGCTATAAGTTGCTCTACTTTAGGCATGAATTGCATGTATTTATTAACTTATCTAAACTCTGAGCATTCATATATTACACATAATATGTCCTACTTAATAGATTTTAGTTATTTTTTAGTATGCGTAAAAAACTTACGCTTTTACGCTTTGATTCTACGCTTTACGATTTTACCCCTTTTTCGATTCTAGGTAGAATCACGCTTTTGACTGCATTGTTACGTAGAAAGAATTTTGTTAGGATTTGTGAATGAAATGAGTTTATCTAGTGTTTATATTCATTTACTTATGTTGATTATGCTTTGAACTTGTCTCTCCATATATAATCGCAGAATGGAAATACAGAATAGTGGGTAAGTTTTACTTATCAACCAGGGGCATAGATGTACTGTCTAATATGTGATTATATGTTATCTAGCAGGGAAAGTTGAGTGAGAGTGAATTTAAACTAAAGAGGAAAGAAAACAAGTATTCGGTTTTTTCGTAAGCAAGAGAAGAGAGTCACTCGGGATTGAGTCCCCCTAGCTCCTCAGTTAGGTTCAAGTTGTAATTTCTTTTGGTTGTTTTACTGTTGATTAGACTGTGAAAGATTCGAAAATAGATTGGAATCTCTTAAACTGACCATGCTCTCTTAGACATAATACCCGGCAGGCGACTAGCCTTCACCGGGATAGACTGCTAAGGCGATTCATACAGATCCCCTCTACTTGGAACGAATTCCAATACAAAGCAGTGAATTGACTGACTCTTGTACAATCAATTCACTACTATCAATTGAAGAAGTTCTTATAACCTAATCAGATTCTATCTATCATAGGTTATAAGCAAAAGCCAAGAGAACTTTATCAGAATTCATTTGACTCAATAAACATGCCTCAATCGATTAAAATCATCCAGTATAACATTCCAAAAGTCATTACAATAAAGATTCATAACACATGAAACTAGGGTTCTTCATACCTAAGTAAGAGAAATGTTTACTTGATTTGGACCTAAAAAACAACCCAAGTCTCTCTTGAATTCGATTTAAAAAACAACATATAATAGTACTCATTGACAAAGCTTGAATTCCCAATCGAACATTCAACATACACACAAGAAACACCAATTAATTAGAGACTAATAGTTAAACACGTACTTAAGCAGGTAAACTATAGCAACCAACCAACGTTAGAGTATAGATGGGGGAACCAAAATTATCCAGTCATGTAAATCTGAGAGACTTGGGCCTCAACGACCGAGTTGTGAGTGATGTAGTACCGATCCAGCATGAGATACGGCGTCAGCTCCACCCCGGCATAGTAGAGCCTGAACTCGTGGTCGTGCAGCCCCCAAGCGCGGCCGACCAGCTGCTTCAGCTCCCAGCACGTGATGCTCTCCGACGGGCACTCGATCTCCGCCGGCCGCATCCGCCTGAAGTAGCCGGCCACGTGGGGGAGGGAGCTCCTCCGACTGCATCACGGTGACCGCGATGGGACCGGCACGAGGAGCGACGGCGAGATGGAAGACGATGTGGGTGTGGGGGCGGGCGAAGCGGAGGTTGTTCCCCGCGTGGACGATGAGGTGGAGCAGAACGCTGTCGTCCCTGAGGTCGACGCCCGGCCGGGTCAGGAGGGACACGCTCAGCCTGGAGAGGGATATCCCGTACGTGTTGTGGAAGAGCAGCTTCACGTCCAGGATCGTGGCCGTCGCCGGGAGCAGGAAACACGGCGCAAAGTGGCCGCCCACCAGCTTCACTTGGAGCTCCGCTGCTACCGCTATTCTGCCGGGGGGCGCCGCCGCCATCGATGTCTTGTAGTCTTGTAGCGTGTGTGGTTAGGTGCGGATACGATCAATACTACTTTGTGGGTTGAATGCATGCAGATCGAGCAAATATGGTGGCAAGTCAAGTCATGCGGAAAGTGGGAATGTGATCAAAATCTGTACTCACCATTGAAGTATGAGTCATTTCAGTTGCCCAATGGTATTGTCGTTTCACATCAGTACTGCACACCACCCTCTAGTTGTTGTTACGCTTTGTGTTTCAGGTCAGCGGGAACCGCGAACTTGGAAAAAACGCGCGCCGTTTCACTACAGCTCTTCACGGTCTGGAGCTGAATATCACGGTCGGGTGACCGTGATGTCATTTAGGCCCGCGAGATGGAAAAACCATCCTAGTCGCCTTGCACTTCACCGTCTTCATGCAATTGTCATGGTCACATTTTGGCACTTTTCGACCTTCAATCGTCCCAAAACTCGTCCTCGACCTTCCCACACGTGCTAGGATATGAAACATAGCAAACCAAGCACAACCTAGCCTAAAATAGGTTGAGAGACTATGAAATGCAAAGGCAACCTATCAAGAAATGAGGAATAAAATGTGTATAATTGGACCTGAATCACTACACCACACTTGAACGTTTGTCCCCAAGCAAACCAATCTCAAATAAGGTAATATTTCAACCTGACAACAAGAACTTGGGAACAAATAAAAGGGAACATAATGGATGAATCTCAAAGTTTATTGGGCATCAACACATGAACCGTTACAAGCAATACCGTCAATCCACCACAAATTACATTCAAATGCATTAAGAACGTGCAAACGAAAAGATCTCACTTTCTTCACAAACCAACAGATGCCTTGACAAAACTACTCACCAACCACGATTAACCATGCATAGAGTTCAAGTCCAAGGAAAAAACGAATGGGCGAACTAGGTCCTCACCGGGATAAGATATGAACATGCAGAATATGAATGAGAATCACTCACTCTAGACCAGTGGGGTCATGACCATTTGGTGCAAAAGATGTGCACAATCAACACTCAGCCCTATCGTCTCTTCACCACGGCGGCAACCTCTAAATGCGAGAGTTCACGAAATGGTTGTCATCACTAGCTTGTCCAGATGTGTTAGACACGGGTTCAAATGACTGGCAAGGATCTTGGACATGGGGAAAATGCCTTTTGAGTGGTGGCCTTTACAATTGTAGTTCTATCAATTAGGCCAACCGGTTTATGACCGGTTGTTAATACCGGTTCCGATAAACCTTGAACCTCTCCTTGATTCGAGTAAATATCCAGTTCGGTTTTGACAACATTGGAAATTTCAGAGGAAGAGGATTCAAGTCAAAGTGGAGATTTATAGATGTGACTTGAATCGGACTATCAGCCGCTACGACTAGAACTCACAGAGGGCTCAATGTTATTTGAGTTCGTGTTCTGGGTCTGGTTATAACCACTTTTCCTTTACCAAATTGGATTATGGTTAAACCTAGATGAAGTACCATAAATACTTATCATAATACTATGTAATCTGTATCTTCTCAAAGTATAGTGAAACTGGCTCTCTCCTGCCCGTGAATTAACTAACACTTATTGTATTAGTGAATAGGGCTGGGCATGCGGGCGGATCATCCGCGGATTTGGGCCGACCCACCCGCATTTGACCCGAATTTCGTTAAGTGGGTGGGTCTGTGGGGGGTGACGGGTTGCACTGGGAGCCATCCGTCGGGTGGTGGGTGGGTTGTGGGTGAGTGTGCGGGTGACCCGCTCAACCCAACAGCAAAAAGATCAAAGTCGTTGGCGCTAGAGAGAGGAGAGTGGAGACGTTAGATATAAACTCGGACTGCTCCTGGAGTTTGAACCTCAAAGCCAACCTTCCAAATAGAGATCCCCTCTTCTTCCCTTTATTTTTTCCTCTAATTCTTGTGCCTAGATCACCGCTCTTTCCTTTGTGAAATTATTTTCCTTAGTTCCTTGCACCTAATAATCGTCTCAATCTGTAGAAAACTCTTTCATAATAGAATTTCTATCCAATTTAAGAACTAATTCGACATTTTTCGCCCTATTTCAATTTCTTGTTTCCCTCGATGATTCTCTTCACCTATTATCATGTCAAGTTGACTCCTTTATATTATATACATTGTGATGTGGGTGAACCCACAAACCCACCCGCATCATCCACCATCCGCCCGACCCAACCCGAGACTAAACGTGGGTGGTGGTGGGTTAAAAATTATCAATCCGTTTAAGCGCGGGTGGGTGCATTTTATGGTCAAAATTCACCCGACCCACCCAATGCCCACCCCTAGTGAACCACGTAAATCGTGTGTCGTGTGTGCAGTCGTGACACAAAGAAATGAATTAAGTGTAAAAAGACTATCCTGAATACCATCACTTCATATAGATGTTAAATTGATGGAAGGCACTAAAGATGGCCCCTTCGTTTTTAGTTACAAGTAATGAGTTTCAGTTGAGATGTTCGTAACGAGACTCGAGGGGACTGCGGTGGTTCCAACATGCGTTCTATCCATGCAGCATAGCACTTTCAAGAAATACCCAAAAGAAGCCACAGAAACGCATAAACATAAGTGCAGAATGAGAAACTCCGAGATACGATTAAAGATCATCTGAAGTTCTGCATATCACTACCAATTACCAGGTTAAACAAAAATGATTCCGTTCTCCTTAATGGTGTCGATAACAATCCCAAGCTTGCCCTCAATCCTCTCGTTCTTTCTCGGTTCGTACGACATTACATATACATCAGCTTCTTTTGATCTCTCTGCTATAAGCTCACCAATAAGTCTGCAGGCACTGTGATCCGTAAGTGAGGGTAAACTGTTCCTAAGCTCCTTGGAGTTTGTGGTAGCAACAGATATTACTTTGCTTGTCCCCGGTGCATCACTTTGGCATGGACAAATCTCTTTGAAAAGAAAACGTTTAGTAGGAAGGGCCTCATGTACATGTCAGTCCTCTGTTTCCACGACTTCTTGTTTGGTTGCTTTGCAAGCTCACCACGAGATCTCCTGGTCCACGCAGCTCGAACGAAAGGACTGCGTGAGTTCTGCAAAGATATGAATCGTCAGCAGCTCTCTCTTTGGCAACACGAGAGGGCTTTATAATGCAAAATACATGGCTGAAATTTGAGTGTATCTTGTCCTAGCAAACAGGAATTCAGCAGATGACAGAAGATGAATGAAACGTAGTCAACAGGCAACAGCAACGGAAATGCATAGACAACATACCACAACACTAGTATCCTATCCTAGGATGCCTAACAGTATTGAAATGCATAGCAAGAAAAGTTAATGTTCCTTAACGCTGTACCTCCCAATTCCCCATAATATTATGCTCTTAGCAACAAACAGGGAAGTAAAATGAAAGTTGAGAAACTAGTCTCTTCATGGGGACACACACTAATCCTGCTTAAAGCACTTCTTACTCAAGAGCATGTGCACTTAATAAACAATATTTCTTACAATATCTCTTGTTCAGCAGAATTGGTTCAACAAAAGGTCCCAACACACTCCAAACCTTACTAAGCCGACGTGCTGCGTAGAAGACGCGCAAACAGGAATATCGACTTCTTACGGATAACAGTCATCCCTCATCGTATTGGACAAAGCTTGCAAGACAGGAACAGCTGAGAGACAGCTTCAAGCTACTCTATGAATAGAATGATTTGAACTGCCATCTAAAGCTCATTGGACAAGTGGAATCTAGAATTGAAATTGCAAGATTAATTCAAGTCTCAAGTCCCCTGGACACAATTCATCAATGACCATCATCAGATATTCTATCATTAACAAGTTCCTTACTAGAATCCAGAAATGGAGGAACAAGTTTTTGGATAGGGCTTAAGAAATAAAAATAAGGGCTCGTTGCATACATCCAGGGTTGCCACAACAGTTCAACATTGTTAGATAAATTGAAAGCTTAGGATGCACCCCCGAGTCCAGATTGCCGAACTGAGTCGCGGAGTTCCCCAATTATGCTCAACAACCAGGAAAAATCAAACCGTGCAAATATCCCCAAAGCATCACTGCTACGCGGAAGCGCAGGTTCGAATTTAAACTAGGAAAAAGCAGAGAACAACCACACTTCCCCAGAATCTTAGTTTTAGCATTCTTATTTATACCAGGAGTAGAGATTGTGTACCTTGTTATTGGAAGAAGGCGAGGGCTGTACCAGTGGTTCGCTACCGACGACCAAGTTCAGAGTAGGAAAAGAAGAAACCCAAGAGAGGGAAATGGGTTTGAGCCGGCCAGCAGATGTATGCAGCGACAAGTCGGCAGAGATCACCACCGGCGTGGCCGCCGGTGCAAAGGCACAGGCAGATATAACCCACGACATCCAGTCTTTGTTGAGTAGATAGTAGATACTAGACAGAGACGCCGCCGCTAAGAGTTTTTAAGGGGGATTTCTCCGGTGACTCCAGTAGTCCAGTGAAACGCGAGTAAGTGCGTGTTCTCTTAAAATATTTTAATTGGGGGTTTTGATAATAAAAAGAGAAAGGGTTAAGAGATTTGGTGGAGGTGAGGGTTAATGGTATGATAGTTTTAGTTTGAATATATATGAAAAAGTCTTTCGTGAAGATTATTACTATAGAAATTAATATATAAAAGTTTAGATTGTAATTTACTATTTATTAGTGGCTCTCACACTTCTCTAAGTACAGGTAGAGGAGTTCCAACTCTCAATTCTACAACCTTTTTGTTGAGCATGATCACAATTGAACCCAAACACAAATCATCGCCTTTGGCCTTTGCCAATCATTTTGCAACCCATCTTAAAATACTGTCGGCGAACTTCTAAGTTGTTCCCTACCACCGTTTCCCAAGACCGCTACCACAAGTTTTATATCGGGATCGAGTTTCATCTTGTTTAGTTTTTTTTTTTTGTTGAGCATTATCATAATTGAACCCAAACACATGAGTGTTCGCTAGGTTTAAATCTATTGTCCATTGTGTTTCCCATAACAATTATTGCCTACTAGGTTTTCAACTCGCTATTGCAGCAACCAATGTAGTCAAAAGCGAGTTTCTACGTAGAAATGTTTTGGTGATCTAGAAGGTTAAAATCATAAGTTTTTATGTTTTAAAGCGGAGTTCTAACTACATAAGTTATAAAAACTAAGATTTTGTGTAGAAGCGTCTTAGTGAACTAGAAACGTAAAATCGTAAGTTTTTAAGTTTTAAAGCGCGATTTTGACTACATTGCCAACAACTATCCACTTTTCACAACATTTCGCAATCCGGCTCGAAACACTGTCGGTGAAATCCTGAGTTGCTCTCTTACACCGTTTGCCATGGTCGCGACCAAAGACAATACTAGATATGCTCTGTCCAATCATCAACAATGCTCACCAATTCATAACCTTCTCTAAGCACTGTCAACGGAATCCTAAGCTGTCCCCTTCCACCGTTTTCCAATGCCGTTACCATATCTACTAAATGTTGGTGAGTTTGGTAAAAGGATCGAGTTTCGTCCGCTTTAGTGTTTTTCTTTTACTTTTCCTTTTTTGTTGAGCATGATCACAATTGAATCCAAATCAATGGGTATCCAATCTAATTCAATCAGGTCAAAGCGACTTGAAACCGATTTTAGCATTTATAAATTTCTTTTTTTTCTTCTTCTTATGGTTGGGAAAAAAATTGAACCTGAATCTAAGGTATTGACGAGTGTTGTGAGCGAGCTTTATCTGCTTTTGTAGGTGGCAGGTTGGACCAAGTGTTAATTTGTTAAAAAATTATTCAAGCGAGTTGAACACGTTAACGTTAGGGATGTTCAACTATTATTTCTGGTGACTAGGGAGTTCAGAACGCCTTGATCAGTTTTTCTGGAGAACGACACATCCCTCTAGGCAATTGACTCAAGAAGGCCTTGACTTCTTTAGTCGAGATTTAAGGTCTAGTCAAGGATTCTCCGCATTGTGAATGAAAGTGAAACAAGTTAGAGATCATCAATCATTAATCTGGCTAGTGACTATGGGGAATCATACCTAAGTGTGTTCCCAACCTATAATTAGTAGTCTAACCTAGTTTAACTTGTAGAGTAGTTTAGTTAATCAAACCTCATTATGATTTGCTAGATAATGAACGAAAGCTGAGTAATAGTACATTTAGAGACCCGAGGATTCGATATTTATTACTTGGACCACTATACTGCAGTCCATTTCATTGGTTACACTTGGTCATTGTTAGGAGTTGTGTTTTAGCGAGTCACTCTCCCTTCTTTCTTTTTCTCCCAAAAAGTTGAAAACACTAAAATTTTCCACTTCCTTCTTTTCCTATAAACCAAAGTATCCAAACTCCCCCTTATTTCTTTCTCTTCTTTCTTTTATTAAAATACATAATTTCAACTCAATATAATTTTTTAAACTTTCCTTTATAAAATGAAAAACCAGTTTTACTTAGTCTTACAACAAACAAACTTCATTTGAAAATTTATATAATATACAATATAGTAATTATTTGGGTCAATCGGGCGGGTTACGGGTTAGTCGGGTTCGGGCCAATCGGGTTTGGGTCAATCAGGTTCGGGTTAATCGGATTGAGAGTTATTCTGGTTATGGGTTAATCGGGTCACGGGTCAATCGGGTTGCGGGTTGGGCAGGTTGCGGGACATTGACTTTTAGTCAATTTGGGTTGCGGTCGGGTTGCTGGTCGGGTTAGTCGGGTCGGTTTCTGTTTTGACACCTATAGCGGTAACTCTACCTAAGCAGGATTGGCAGACCCAACTTCTAGGTTCAACGAGCAAACGAAGTTGTGAATGATGGTCCGACATTGTCAAATTATTCAAAGTCCATTCTCAGGATGCGACAATGTCCAAAATAAGGGTAAACCTAAATATGAAAGGTTTTAATGGTTTCTAAGTTTGACACGTGATGTGATCAAATAGTGTATTTTCGGAATACATGTTTAGAAATCACCTATGTGAGTGTGAAGTGGAGCCGCTTCAAGGAAAATAAAAGAAGGTATGTTCTCTTAGCACTCATGAGAGCAAGCGGTGTTTAAGGCTTAAACGAACACAACTATGAGAACTAGTGAACATATAAGAGTTAGTTGTGTGACATATGTTGTCTTAGTATACAAGCAAAACCGACGGTTCAAAGATATCACATCTACCGGTTGGTGAGTATACTTGATATATGTTCACTAAGGAAGGTTCAAAGGGAACCCACATATCCCCATGCAACTAAATCTTAGTAAAAAATCAAACAGTTCTGCATAGTTTTCAAAACTTAGCATTCAGTTTTCATGTGGGGGATTGTTGGGATGTTGAATGGTGTGAATGAGAATGAAATGTGAATGAGCCAAGAGAAGCTCTTGAAATACCATATTGGTTATATATGGGAAGGAGTCCTTAGATTCGGTTAATTGATTTGATTAAATATTTTGGTAATTGGTCAAATTGGTTTGTGTAAACAACCAGACCAACCAATTTGAACCAAACCAATGTGGCGGTAGGAGTGAACCAACCGGTCCAACTAACATGGACCGAACGGATGCAATGGTTTATAATTTTAAAACGAACCAATGCGTTGGTTGGGTTGTAATCACCCATCCGAAGGGTCACATCCCTTCACTCACATCCATTCATAAACTATAAATAACACCTATCCCCTATGCCAAAGCCCAAATTATTTTTTTGCATTGTTTTCAAAAGAAAAATCGAGTCAAGTGTGGTTCTCGTCCTCTTTCTGCGTTCCTTGATTTTCGGGGTTTGAGGTACCGCTACGCCAAAAAGGTATGTCCTTTCTATCATGGAAGGAATCATTCCATAACCTTAGATTCTAAAGGGGAATAAGATTTCTTAATGAGAGACAGTGTATTATGTCTGCTAGGACGTTGTATATGTGTTTGCATGATTTCATTTGTATTAATTTCACAATTTTGTTTGTTACTTGTATTACAAAAATTAGTATACGTGAACAAAATTTGCAGTATCATATTTGACCACTATCCCTCATCTCTCTTAACTATATAAGCAGATGACCGGATTGACAACCTCGTAGCCCTTAATTTATTCCAAGAATTGAGAATATAAATTCAAAAAATGGTTGGAAATTGGCAAATTGGAATCAAACAAGGAATGAATGTGTGAGAAAGAAGAAGCCAAAAGAAGAGGCGAGCGAGAAAAGACAGAGCAATGCAGTAGTTGTAGTTCACGGGCATGCTTTAATTAATTAATTAATGAAAATGAATTGTACCCCCCGCCCATTTCTCCACACTCCTCTTTTCCCCACCGTCAGCACCGCCAAATCCAATCCAAACCAACCCACCGTTCCTTCTCTCTCTCTCTCTCTCTCTCTCTCTCTCTCTCTCTCCTTGTTTGGCTTCCATCTCCCACCCCCAACTAGACAAATATGTGTTGGTGGCGAGCGTTGGTGGCGGCGGCGGTGGCGGCGGCGTTTTGTGTTGGAACAGGAACAGGAACAGCAGTGAATGTGGTGTCGAAGGTGGAGGATGCAGCTAACTTCCACATCTACTACGGCCAGACCTTCAAAGTCATCAAGAATGTCATTGACGCCAAGAGCTACCTTCTCATCCAGGTCCCCAATTACCATTTCATTTCACTAATTAGATTTATCCATCAGCTAGATAGTTAATTAAGTAATTAATTGGTCAGATCAGATCAGATTGGAGTATAATTTTGTGGTTTCTTTTTCTTTTCTTGGGTTGGGTTGGGTTGGGTGGACAGAATAACTCGAGGATGGCCGCTACGAGGACAAAGTACTGCACCCAAAGGATCCGATCTTTTGTGGTTCCTTTCTCAAACTTCTCCGCTGATACTTACTTCTTCCCTGGTAATTAACTACTGCTCTTCCCCAAATTCCAAATCATCATCAACAACAACTAATTATATATATTGATCTCATTTTGATCGGTTGCTAAAAAAATGTTCCACTGTGGGGAGTAGCCTTTTCCCCCCTCTATTTTAGACCAAACTCATCATCATAAATCGTTCTATCCTCTTCACATCACTTTCATACATTTTTTTGTTTTGCTTTTGCAGTATCCTATTTCGAGGTAAAGTTATTCAAAAGTTCCAGTAAGCTGCTTTCCTCCAATAAGTTTTTTTTTTGTTCACTAGCTGCAAAAAAGCCTGTTGTCTACGGAAAAGTTCTCATGGTGCGTAGGTTATCAGTACTATAAAAATAATGATTGTGTTTTATTATGATAAAGATGACTCAGAATAGTTTCTCAAATATTTTATAGTCATTATGTAAGGCTAGAGCAAGGTTTACTATATATAGATAATGCCTTAGGTACTAAAGTATAAACTCTTAACTCATCCTTGCTAAAGATGGTGATAATCACATTAATAAATAATTAAGTATTGGGTATATGATTTATCATGTAAAATAGCTTGCATTAGAGATAGTTCGAGTGACGTTATTGAGATATGATAACTTATTATATTACTCCCAAATCTACTATATCGAATTAATCATGTCCTATATAAGGCTATAATAAAATTTACTTTAGACAATATCTTAGGCACTAAATATTGAACCCCTGGTAGAGAGTTCCGGTCTTTCGTGCAGGTTGTGCTTTTCCTTTACATCTGCCTAGCTAGATTTTGTTGGCATACAATCGCCGGCCAGACTCTGATACTAATTTGTTATCTATATGAACCTTGGTGGTTTATGGGCCGACTTGGATTGGTTTATTATACGAATTTGTCGTTGCCGTTATACTACTTATGTAATGACTTAAAACTTTATGAAACAACGCACAAAGTAAATATTCATTACATAAATGGGCCATCGATTAAGTAAGAATTAGTTATGTAAGGTAAGCATATACATTATGTAATCATTACTTAATAATGTATGTCGTATCTTACGAAATGTAACCTGTCGAACCTAGTATATAACATATAAAAACAATCGAGTTATCTTATTACTTTCCTGGATTGTAGAATACCCAACAGTTATGTCTATTCGTGTTCATTTCTCACAAACCAACCATGAAGCAACATTAATATACGAGGAACATTTTTGTGAATTAAAGTGAAAAGATGGAATGCAGTTGCTAGGGTTACTGGGGCTTCTGAAGGGAATCACAACAAATGCAGTGGCGTCTGCATGTGCTTTGAAACTATATGGAGAAGGACAAATTACAATACTTAATAAAGATGCACCGGAAGACTTGATGCAATTTGCTGCCCATTTTGTAACCAACACTGATCAACAACAGACCTATTGCAACTTGGCTGATTTCCTGCCTTTCTATGAGGACCACCCTTTACAGGTACTACCATCCTTTGTAATATTTCTACTCCTTGCATTTCCTATCCTATACTCTCATTTTCAAGTACTAAATATTCTTGTTTTTTTCTATATACTTCCATTTTCCTTTCCTGTTTTTGGTTTTCATGTCATAAATTTGGCAACCGAAATGAGAAAACTTGTTTACATTTCATTTCATTTTCTATTCGTTTCCAACTATGAAAACAGAAAGTGGCAACTTCCTGTTGTTTTCAGAAACGACAAAATGTTGTTTTTGATCACCTGTTTTCAACATCTGTTTTCTAAAAAACAGGAAACAGAAATGAAAATAAACATGTCTTACTTTTTTGAAAGAAGGGGAAAAACACTGAATATATATAGTGATTGGCATGCAGCGAGCAGAGTGGATAAAATTCATCGGTGTTTTCGCAAACCTGGAGACAAGAGCCAACCAAGTTTATGATATGGTGAGTCTGTTAATAAAGGGATACAAAAGTACAAAAGAACAGTAGAGGAGCATGTTTGTTAACTTGTCATAGTAGAGGGACATAAAATACTATTATCCCTTAAAAGATGCTTCATCTTCTTGTTTTGAGTTTGGCAGATTAAAGAAAATTATTTGTGCTTAGCTGGAGCTGTAGCCAACCAGTCCAGACCGTTCAAGCCGGTGGTAGCCTGGCTCGCTTTCTACAATGTTAGTAAATATATATACCTATAAAAAGCATCACAAATTTTTATATTAATGTCTTTCAAATGTCCAGACTAAGGGTGGCTATACGGTCCGGTTAAATTGGCCCAAATTGATCCGGTACAGTCCGGTTTTTTTGAAAATACAAGGACCGAAGATTGGATTGGATACAGTCTGGTCTTGATCCGGTCCGGTCTTGACCCGGTCCGGTCCCAATTCAGTCTTGATTTTATATTGGATTGTTTACTATCCGGTCTCGGTTCGATCTCGGTCCGGGTTATACGGTCTGGTTTCCGGTTTTTCATCCAGTCCCGGTCCAAATAGCCAGCCCTAGTCCAGACTCATTGGCCGTGAATAGATGATTTCAAATAGATTGTTGATTAATTGGGAGACATTTATCCATTGGAGAATTTTGATTTGAATTTGACTTCTCCTCTTTGTGCATGTATTGGTGACCCAGGACATTTGGTCCTTCACCCAGGATAAGTCCAAGTTGAAGGTAGGTACTCCACACTTGTAAAAGATCAAATAATTATATTGTCATCCTTTTTATTTTCATGTTATCAATATTTGCATTTGATTCTTTATATATTTAATTAACGAATCGAGTCGAGCTGTCTTTAGTCCTGCCCTGTGCTCGTCACAATAATAATAAAATAGTACTTAAACTAGACTTTGACATGAACTTTATACATTAGGGAGGCTAAAACTTGACTTGATTTTACAAAATCGAAACTGGAGTACGACTTGACAATGAGTTCAACGAACCAGATCGAGTTCAACTTTTTTTTTTTTTTTTTGAAAGATTGATCTAGTTCAACTCATTACAACTCGGTTGTAGCTTAAGCCCGACCCCAAACTTGGCTCGAATTTGGATTCTAACTAGTAAAGTCTGTTCAAGGATAACTCAACACCAAATCCTGATTTTACATTCAACAAAAGGTGCTTGGTTAGCTACCACGCCATTATATCTACTGTCTACAAACTAAATACTCCAATAAAATTCTAGAGACCAAGATACAATCACGAGTGTAGTAAATCTCGGCTGGGAAACAATGAGCTGACTCAAACTTTGATAAAATTATAAATGAGATACAATGCACCCCAACTCTAAAAGTAACCTTAAATCCTTAATACATTGAATTTTGAATTTTAATTGGTAGCATTAGTGTGATATGATGATATGATCACAACTAATCAATTCATTACCCTAACCCCTAAATCTTAAATTTTGAACACAAACCCAAAATCCCAAATTATAAACCCTAAATCCCTAAACCCTTAATCCTTCAAATTGAAGTAAATCTTGAATGATTTTTTTTTTTTTTTTGCAAATTCATATGTTTCTTGTTCATCGTATCACAAGTAATCATGGATACCGTTTTGACTTGTATGCTCGAAATGACAATTATGAGATGAGTGCATTGAGTGCACCAAAAAAAGTGAGTTGCGCCGAAGACAGGACCATATATATATATGGGTGGTGCTATCGTACATTGGGTAAATTATATGTATATAGTGTGGCTACTTCGGTGCAATCACTTTTTTTGGTGCATTCAACTTTAAAAGTGGTCATAATACATCGAATTTTGAATTTTAATTAGTAGCATTAGTCTAATATGATGATATAACATAGAATCACAACTAATCAATCCATTACCCTAACTCTTTAACCTTCAATTTTGAATCCCTACCCAAAACCCCAAATTCTAGACCTAAACCCTAACCCTAAATCTCTAAACCTCAAATCATTCAAATTAAAATAAATCTTGAACGATTTTTGTGCAAATTCATGGGTTTCTGTTCCATCATATCACAAGTAACGATTAACATCGTTTTCACATAAATCGCCTGCAAAAAACGACGATTATAAGACGAGTGTATTGAATGAACCCAAAAAAATGGATGCACAAAAGACGCCACCATATATATATATATCAACCGAGTAACTAATATTAAGCTACGTGCATGCACGCAGTACGTGGAAGATGCAGGTGGGGAGAACATAGATACCTCTATCAACAGAATCACTTACAATACCTCCAATCCAGATGACTTGGAGGCACTTCATGCTATCCTTTGTGTACGTTTACTTCACAGACGACACTTTGTTTTTGTTTTTGTTTTTGTTTTTGTTTTGTCTAACATTTTAATCTCTATCAGACGGTGGACGTGGTGATTGATGAAACCGCAACTCTTGATCCCGCGACATACACGGTGTCAAGCTTCCTTGACAACGTGGGTGTCGAAGACCACTCTTGCTTTGCTTTCCTCACCAACCAAACCTTGTGGAGATACGATAAACGAGCCTACAATTCAACTCTTGGTAATATATTTATAATAATGGGTTTATCTAGACTGTTTTTAATCTTGTCCTCCATTGATTTGCTTAGTAGCTAATATATAATTGCGTTGGTTGGTTGTTCTGGACATCTTTCTCGACCAAATTTGCAATCAAGACTGGTACGACGGAGCAGTGTCGCAGCCTCAATTGGTTTTAGCAGATCTTATTCAAGCATTTTCCTCGCCCGGGAATGCTTCCACCACCTTCCTAAGGAACATCGCTAAGGTGTGTGTGCGATTTACGTACGTGTACATATATGTGTCGAAAATGATTGCATCTTCCACAATGCCCATTTAGCTAAATGATCATGTGCTTTGCCCTAATATAACGCGCAGGGTGAAGGAGTTTTAAGCATAGACGGCAGCATGTGTGGCAGCCAAGATTTTTCAACTCCCATGGATCCAACCATCCTGCCCTGCCCATAACTAGCTCAATACTAATTGTTTTGATGGAATTCTTTTCAGGACTTTTATTTATTTATTTATGGATGTGCCACATCTTTTGATACTCATAAATTTAGTCAGATTTTTTTTTATAAAGATGATATAGTTTTATTAAAAGTAGAAAGGGGAAAGGATTTGGAGACCACTGAGTAGTTTGTTGTAAAAAATATTATTTTAAGTTATTTAAGAGACAAGTGTATAAAATTGTCCCATAAAAGAAGTGAATAAATTTTAATTAATTTTGTAACTTCTTAGGTGTTCCCAAAACTAGAAGTTTCCATAAAGAAGAAGATTTCATAGGATTCTATTTTATGAAGAATTGCTTGATTTTTTTATATGAAGAATTTTTTTAAATCTAGAATTATTTAATGAAGCCCGTAAGTTGGAAAAATGACGATTTTGTAATTACCTTTGTGCATGAGATTTTTTAGATTTCCTTTTTCGTAGTTTGTGATTTAATTTTCTCAAACTATTATGTTTTCGAAATTAATTGTCAAAACAATGCTCGCTAAAAATTGTTTCCCACCTTAGTGTTCTTTCACCTTTGTACATGAGTGCCCCAACATGATTTTCTGGTAGATGAGAGATGAATTGAACTTGAACTCAAACCGCAAGCAAATTAAATTAGCGAGGATAGTAAGACTTCTCTAAAAAAATCTTTATTAGTTGTCCCTATAAGTTACATATATCAGCGGCGGATCCAATACTTAATGGAAAGGGGCCGCATTTAATTAGAAAATTTGATCCCGTAAAAAATCATAGTTTTTTATAAAATCAATTGTACATGTCGATCTTTTGATATAGCGAATTAATCAATAATGGAGTCTACATCCATACCAATAACATACTATTATCTTTTAAATATAATAGCTACCCAATCGGCGAGAAATTTATCACTTATTTTGTTGGGCAAATCATTTTGCATTTGTTTCATGATGAAAAGGTTCTCTCGATAGTAGCTGTTGAAATGGGCAATGTCAACACTAGACAAATCAATTGACTAATCAATTTGTATTGTGTGTCCATCCCTATTTCCACCAACTGCTCTAGTAAATTTTTTGAAGGAAACAAACCTCATATTTCTTTTAGTATTTTACATTTTAGACTTTTAGGTTTCATTGTTTATTTTTCTTTAGACGAGAATCATTGGAGCTAGAATTTCTATTATAAATTTAGAGTTGTGATTTGAATATGTTCATCTAACCCATTTTTCTAATTACACACAATCTTATTATAAAATACACTAAACCAAATGACTAAAATCGATAAACTCTTAAGAAATATACTAGCTCCAGATCCAGAGGAGGGTTGGGCCGTCGCCCAAAGTGGGCACCCCTGCATCCGCCACTGAGTTACATGACTAATGATTTTCATGTCCTATTAAGAATAAAATTTTAATTGTTGTATGTTATCATATCAGTTTGTATCCAAGTTCCTCAATCTAGTTTTTGTTTGCTTTATACAATTTCTTAATCTACGGAGAAATATGGAATATTTGTCCCTAAAACACAATTTTTCGTCCAGGGCACAACTTATGTAGCAACTTATTCATCTCTAAATGTTACAAATATCTAAACTTGTCATCTCCAAAGATATAGTATAAGGATCACTTGTTGTCCTTAAATGATTTGTTGACTTCAATTTGCACCTATGGAGACGATACACCAACCATATATAAAAAAGGGACGATATATTATCCCCAAAGTCCAAATAGCCACAATTAAGGGTGGGCTTCGGTCCGGTCCAGACCAGATCGGACAAAACTTAGGAGAACCACAGTCCAATAGTGAAATATATCTTAGTACCAAAGACCTGCTCCAAAGCTCAAGTTAGTATTTGAGAGGAGAGTAACATGGAGCGGCGTATTGAGCCGATTCTAAAGAGAGTTTTAGAGTTCAATATGAAATGAACTGCCAAAAAGTATAAATGAGTGTCCTATTTATATGCGCCTCTGGTTGGCGTAGCTTTTATTGAAGTGTTAAAATAGTTGAAAGGTAAGGGTACTTACTGAAAGTGTCTCAGAAAACCCTGAGTTGCTCTTTATTGAATATTGTTTATATACAACAGTAGATGTAACAGAAGGGAAAATCCTACGTAGAGGATTGCTAAAACTAAGGAACAAAATGAAAAAGAATAGGAGAGTGGAGAGATAGAGTTGTTGGTATGTTCCTGAAGTGGTGGAGATATTTCATCTCTATCACGCCCCCGCAAGTGGAACCTCGGTGAGGTGAAACTTGGAGTAGAATCGTCGAAATGAGAGCCGAGTCAATGGGTTGGTGAGGCCGTCTGTGTGTTGTTCTGGTGCCGGTAGTAAGGAACTCATAGTTGCTGCTTGGCGATCCCTCGTCATTGGAGGAGTTTGTGACGGCAGGATCAGTCACTGATATGCGGTTGATGGAGTGGGCTGCATCGCCAACGAGATGGTATTGTCATCGCCAGTGCAGACCCAGGGTGCACTGGGAGGCAGTGGGCCAGCTTAAATGCGGCAAAACTCGCAATAGTAGGAGTGACTAGTGAGGAGAAGGATTGAATATATTATGGAGAACTCAATGATATCATAGAAAAGGATTTCAAAGGGAAGGAATAAAAGGTCAGGAGGAGCAGTGTGTGAAGGGTGAAGAGGTGGATTCAGTCGATTCCTGAACTTGGCAGGAGAACTAGTGAAAGGAAAGAAAAAGAGCGTAGGGAGATTTGTAGAAGAGTAAGGAGAAAAGTACTAAGGAGCGGTTTGGCAATTAGAAAGGGGAGTAAGGAGAAAGAATGGGACGACAGGAAGCTAGAAATAGAGAAGGGAAGGGACGAGAAGAGGAAGTAAGGAATTCAGAGACATAATTTCAGTAGTGAGAAGGAGAAGTGGAAGCAAATGTGAGGATAGTATTTCAGAAGACATGATGCAGGAGAAGATAGTGTAATTGACTAATTTCCATGGTAACCGGAATGAGAAGAACAAGAAGAAGAATAGAAATGGGGAGGGTCTGAGAATTAAAGAAGGGAAGAGGAAGATGTAGGACAGAAGACATGAGAAAGGGGATAGCAGCGGGGTTACTACCTAGTCCAAAAGAAGAGGAGAAAGAGCGCGGCTGCTTGGCTGCGGTTCTGAAACTCCGAATCCGGGCAACTAGAAGGAAGGAGGTAGCGACTGAAGCGGGGAAAGAGGGATAACTTCCATGGAACTTAAGGCCCGGAAGAAAGAAAAGAAAAACAGAGCACCTCGTTAGAGGATTTGAGACTCTGATACCATGAAAGTGTCTCAGAAAACCTGAGTTGCTATTTATTGAATATATGTTTTGTACAACAGTAGATGTAACAGAAGGGCAAATCCTACGCAGAGGATTGCTAAAACTAAGGAACAGAATGAAACAGAATAGGAGAGTGGAGAGATAAAGTTGTTGGTCTGTTCCTGAAGTGGTGGAGATATTTCATCTCTATCACTTACCTTGGACACGTGTCATCAGGTAGTGATTGGGGGATCATTTTTGCCCATGTATCAGAAGGTGTGATGGCCAGCAATGAGGTGGCAATTTTGCTTACAATCTCCCCGCTAATAAGACTTCCATAGTCATCTTTCATCTAATTAAGCAAACCTAAATAGCTTCACATGGAAAGGGGAATGTAATAGTTCACAACCCACTTCATAGTCCTTGGATACGTTCTCTCTCTTGTCTCTTTATTCTTTTTTCAAATTAACGGTTAAGATTAAAGGAAAGGTATTTTTGGAAGAGAAAAAATTTACCACACACAATCATTCACCCTACCATATAAATAGAAAAAACTCTAATTACACTATCCTCCCTCTCTCCCTCCTCCCTCTCTCCCGCAGCAATAACCGTCGCAGAGTCCTCCACCGCCACAGCCCTCCACTCCCAGCACCATCGCCCCTGTCTCCTGCAGCCACCGCTGCCTCCGCAATCCTCAACCTCCCTCCACCCCTGCCATTGCAACTCTCTCCCGCCAGCCCGTCGCAATGTCCTCTCCCACTACCGCGACACAATCATCCTCTTCCCATCAGAGCCCTCTCGCCGCCCTTCATCTCCCACCACTGCCGCCATCGCGAGGTCACCCTCTCCCCTCTGCCTCTCTCTCGTCACCAGCTCCCCTTTTCTAGATCTGGATTTTTTTCCCGACTAGTGGTACCATTTTCTTCTGGTAGCGTATCATTATCATCTGGTTTTTTGTGTTATTCTCTACTGGTACCGCTACCAGTGCTAGTGGTACGATACTAGTTCAGTTCATTTTAATTTAATTTTACTTTATTTTTTTGTACAATTTTTGTTTTGTTTTGTTAGACCAAGTAAAAAGAAAGGGCAGAAGAAGGGGTTTGCTCATTCTTCTTGTCGATTCCCTTTCTTCACTGCTGGAGGCGGAGGACGTCGGGGAAGACGACAAGACGATCGTACAGGGAAAGCGAGGATAAGGGCAGAGGAAAGAAGCAGTACACTCTCTTCGATCGGGAAGGGGAGGTTGACTCCATCTTCCTTTTGTTTCTTCTTTGCTGGAGGCGGTCGATCGGGCAGGAGAGAAGGTTGCGATCGGCAGGGAGGCGGAGGTAAGCACGGCCGATCTTCTAAACTTCTCCATACTCTTCGTTCCTTCCTTCCACTCCCCTTCTTATCGAACTCATTTTTTTGGATGATCAGGGAAGATCGACAAAAACCCTAAAAACTTTTGAATCTGAAGATCGACAGAAATCCTATTCTAATATGCTTTGTGGTTGTAGCTCGACAAGAAGACATAGAAGCAAAGGTTATTAGCTCTTTCTTTTGGTTCGTTTTCACTGATATATGTGAGTTTGTGCTACATGTAAACTGGAAGGTAAGGGAAAAAGTGAAAGCAAAAGATTTTCTGATTTTCGGTGGAATCTTTGTAGTCGTTTTCAGGGTTTTGGTCCCATTTGACATTTGTGAAGCATTATGGTGGGTCATGTGTGGCAATCAAATGATCCCATCCCTATATATCGTAAGTTTCGTTGCTTTCTTGTCTTTATAGGTGGAAAGTGTGTTGTACTGAGTTGTTTATTAGGTTGGCAGCAATTGAGAACATCGATATCAATAGAAAATTGC